TGTTGAACTCCTTGTCGATGGCTTCCATCTCCTTCCTCAGAATGTCAACCTGCTTGATGGTGAATGGTTCGAAAAGGTCCTCCAAGAGGTACACCTCGTTGTCAAGCGGTTTCCTTCAAGTGTCTGAGGAGGATGTGGGCGAGATCCTGACAGAACTGGGTAAGGATAAACCTGTGCCAGCTTGGTTCTGCTTCCGAAAGTACCAGCATTTCCCTCGAGGGGTTGGTGTTCATGCTTGACTGAGCTGGTAGAATTTTTACACCTTCTGAAGATCGGTCTCATTACCTCTGGAGGTAAGCAGTGCATCAAGCTTGTGGGCTTGAGACTTCTGAGCCCGGATTCAGGATCTTTCAGTCTCTATGCACAGAAATGGAAATCTCCCCAGGTCACGGATGGATCTGAAAACAGTTGCTGCATACAACTCAGATACCATATCTTGGATGTCCGAGGATTTTCAATGATGAAGTATCTTCCGTGCTTCAGCTGATATCTCGCAATGAATGCCACAAATTCAACCATGGGAAGATAGCGTTTCCGCTTCTCCCAGACTCTTTGTTGGTCTTGTTGGATGTTCTGCATGTTTGACCACGGTCCACAGACCGGTGCCATGAGGATTACATCAGGTGCTTGCTCTCTGATGATCTCCATGACCATGTGTCGTCCCTTGGATGTCATTGCGTCGAATCCGGTGCGGATGTCTACGGGAGTCCCAACCTTCAGACCTGAGAGTGCGCAGCATTGACTGAATCTGGCACTTCCTGCAAAGATCTCGAGAACGTGGATCTTTCCTTTACGTATACAATTCCAGTGCGCTTGTTCAGGAATGGATGTGAGGTCCTCGACGAACATGTTCTCTGCCGGATGAGGTGCTGCAGGTTTGGGAGTTGTTTTTCCCGCGATGCGTGATGGCACTGAGGATTTTGGCTTAGGAGCTGGTGCGGATGACTCCTTCTTCTTGGTGTCGGCAGAGGAGCCGGTTTGATCCTTCTGCAAGGATTCTCGCTCTTTTGGCAAGAGAAGATCAATTCCAGGTTTCCCCGGAGGGATGGTTTCAGCCTTTCTGACCTTCGTCATGTCGACCTTGATGAGTCGAGTCCCAAGATCAAGTCCTACCATTGCTCCTTCAATGGAAAAGCATTTTCCTTATAGCCATATTCCTCCCTTGCTTCCATCGGAACGGATCTTGGATTTGTCTTCCTGCCAGTAAAATACCTTGTCCTTCACCTGAAGAGGCTTAGAACTCATTCGGAGATTTTGAGCAAGGTCTCGTCGGATGTCTTCGGGTTGACGTGCTTCTTGGAAAGCTTGCTTGGACAGCTGCTTGATCTGGATGGCTGTCAGCTCTTCTTCATTCCTGTCAATCGTCAACTGAGTTGGTGTTGCGACATCGAGTTGGATGAGATCTGCTGGTCGTCTTCCGAATGCGAGCTCTAATGGTGTTACACCCCCGTAGGTGACAGTCTGATTCCTGACAGTTGCAGCTGCCTTCGCCAGCTGTCTGTATGTCACTTTCTTCAGTGTTGCAGGTGCTGTTCCTGCCTTGATGGAACTCAGCATGATCCTGAGTTGTGCCTTCAGGAGTCGAACTGCTGCTTCAGCTCGATTTGGCCATGGTGTGCTCGGTCCCAATGATATCGGTGTGATGTCAAGGGATTGATAGAAATGTTCCCATGTCTCCGTCATGAAGGCTTGGTCTGCGACAACTGATTTTGGCTGCAAATGGTACTGGTCAAAATAGTTCCTGAGGACAGTGATGTTCTCGACTTCTTGCGTAGTTGTCACTGCCTCTGCAGTGAGCAATGTTGTTGCTCCATCCAGGATGACAAAAACAATGATGTGTTCTCCTGTTCCAAGAGGAACTTGACAGTGATCAATGAATGTCATGTCACCAAAGGTGTCTGCTCGAAGTCCACTCGTCTTGCTTCGTGATGGTGCATGTTTTGCCGCTTGGCAAACTTCACATTCACTTCGGATTTTGTCAAATAGATCGAATGTTGATTTCGGCAAATGAAGTGAGCGAGTTCTAAATCGAAATTGATCTGTTGTCATGTGGTGATGCTGGAGGTGGAGCTTCTTCAACTCTTCGGGATTTGACAATCGCTTGCGGATTCTCCCTAGTACCCTAGTGCAAGCGGAAGCGTTGTAGGTTCTTCTGAGGATGGTGCGAACGGATCTGGCTCAATGGTCGGCCGGCCCTTCTTGTCGATGATCCTGTCTGCTGCCGATCCTGAGCCTGCTTCTTCATCCTTAAGCGAATTGTCTCTCGGCTGATGTTATCAGGATTGATTGGACATTCCTTGGCCCCATTTGGTGTGAACAGTGCCTTTCGAGGCGTGATGTGCACACGGATGAGCTGCTTGTTCTTCTTGTCAAGGATCCAATGGTCCTGCTTCTGAGACCCAATGGTTTTAGGAGTTGCTAGGTCCTCCTTCGTCTCGGATGATTTTGCTGCACAAACAGTTTCACTCTTGGAGAAATCCCCGGAGGGAAACTTGATGCTGTTATCATCATCATAGACGTAGTTGGTAAGGCCCTTATGAGCAATTTCTACATGTGCCTTCACTCTTGCAACTCCAGCGAGATCGACGAGCGCATGTCCTGTACCGGATACCGGAACTGCTTGCCGGTTCATGCCAAAAGCCTTGCATGTGATTTTGTCACATTGAGGTGTGTGCTCTATGGTCATGTAGAGGTTCCGCATCTGACTGATGCTGAGGAGGATCGGTACAGTTCCTTGTTCAAGGACGTCCATGTTGGTACTGCATGGAGGAGTTGTGTGATATCGAAGATGCAGGGTCCAATTTACCCTGGCTGTTTCTCCATTTGCAAAAGTGAACTTGGTCTCGGCCGGGATGTACTGATAGGAGATGATGTCCTTCCTTGGTTCGATGGCCTGAGTAAAACGCTGGATTGCACGCCAGCTGCCCATGGATCTGGTACATCCGTTGTCCAGGATCGCATAGGCTGGATTGTGCTGAGGGTTGATGACAGGCGCCATCAGCTTTGTTGCCTTGTTGCGACGGACAAATTGTGTTCTGAAACTGCATCTGTTTGGATCAGCTTCCCGTGGATGGCCTCTTTCTCATGATGCTCATATGCGTCATGGAACGCCATTCGCGCTTGTCCTGTACTGGATGTCTCATGGGATGAGTACCAGCCTTGTTCGTTCCATGTCCAGGATTGATCCCAATCTTGGTCTGTCCAACCGGCATTGGTAGGCTCTATGGATGGTGCAGTCTGCTGGATGGCGGGCTGCTCCTCCGTCTTTTCTGCGGTGGCTGCGAACGTCTTGGATTTTCCTTTGTCATGTGCGCCCTTTCCTTTGCCATTCTCATAAGATGGATAACCTTTGTTTCCATCATAGGGATATTGGCATTTTGATTTTCCTTTCTTTCCCTTCTTTCTTTTGCCTTTTCCCCAATATGCCTGGTCGTAGGGATCATAGTTTCCATTGGCCATATTGGCCTTCCCGCCAGAACCACTTTTTCTGAAGGGAGCCACCTCGTTGGTGACTGCCCTTATTGTTTCCTGATTTTCCTTTTCCTTTTCTCTTCTTGAATCTGAAATTCCGCCCTGACACTTGTCTTGCGATGAACGCATCGTTCTCCTCGAGGACCCAGAATGTCTCCTCATCGTTGTTTGACATGAATCCTTCAAGTCCTTCTTCATCCTCAACCCAAAAGCCTTCTTCTCCTTCATATTCACCTTGTTTGATGATGAAGAATGTGTTGCTTCGGTTGCCTCCTTGAGGTCGGATGGATGGATCTTGAATGGATGTCCTGGTCGTGATGAAGAGTTCATGGTAGTGTGTCTTCAGCATCTCATAGGAGTAGTTCTCTAGTGAGATGTTTCTCAATGACATTGCACTTGTCAGTCTCTCTCTTTATTGATCTGACAATTCACTCTGAATGATGAAAAACTGTGCAATGAGATTATCCCCGAAGGGAAATGCGTCCCGCTGTCTGTCCTGCATTCCCGTGATACACTGTCTGAGGACTGTTGGATCTTCCTCATTCAGCAGGACTGGAGGCGGTGCTCGAACACCGGCTGCTTGCTGATGTCGAGCAATTGTTCTTGCCTTTGCGTCCTGTACGGACTGTCGAAATGATGGGGACTGTGCCGTGAAAACTGGCATCAAGTCCATCCATGCTGCCTTCAACCTCATGAGAAGGATTTCGAATTTTGAGGTGAAAATGAGGAACTCTTGGTTCTGCCTTCTACGATTGAAGAAACTGAGGAGCCTGTACAGATGCACCTTGGTCGCACCTTTCAAAAAGTACTTCTTCAGCGTGTTCTTGAAGTAGTTGACTCCTTCATCAGGATCTTGCAAAAGGTCATTTTGGAGGACTGCCTTATACATATATGCATCTCCGGTGAGTCTGCTTTTGAGTAGTGGTCCTCTCTTGGGTGCTTCCACCGTAGTGATTGTCACCCAGTCGTCCACGAGTTCTTCATACCTGAGCCAGCTGACTTTTCCGTCGTACGATGGCGGCTGCTTGGCGGTCATCGATAAAATGAGTGTTTCCTCCGTATAGCCTTGTGGTTTGGCCATACTTGAATAGGCTTCCATGAAGCCTTCTCCATCGGATGACATCTTCCCTTGGATCTCTGCGGAAAACCCGCTCCGCTACCACAAATTGAGGCCCACTGCCTCAGGTGCCTATCCCAGAAGGGAACTGGTACCCTGTGGTAGTAGAGGTCGTTGATTTGGTCCCTGGATCTATTCCGGAGAGAGTCCAATATGCCAATGTGGATGATTGGAGGATGGATTGTCCCTGGGTGGCTTGACTTGACTGACATTCCTGCTAGCGGTCTCTGCAAGCCTTTGTACTGCTATCGCATGAATGCAATATGCTATATACAAGAGGGCCTTGAGCCAAATGGTTGCAGGAGATCAATGGTGTAACAAACCAAACACAGGGGGGGGGCATTATGCTACGTGACGCTTCGGAATTCAAATCCTGAGAGCATCGGTCTGTGAATTGGCTCTTCTGCATCTCCTGCGCAGTGAAACTCCAAGACCACAGGTCCAAATCCTGCTGCAAATGCTCGAGGTTGGAAGATTTGGTCACAGCCGGGATGCCTCAGACGCTTCAAGCTGGGACCCGGCTTGGGCGAAACCCAATTCTTCCCAACAGGCACCCCAACAACTCGGCCGTTCATTCTCAATAAAGCATCACAATTGAATCATTGGAACCGGGGCGCCTTGGGACACCACCCACTTCAGCGCTACCTGCACCGAGGACTTGTTGTGAGCCTTGCCGATGGAGACCGTGAGGTTGCCGCTGACGATCTCAGAGCCTGTCCGGAAATCTTTTGGAACAACTCAGTTGGTTGGGAGCTGCTATTGGACGCTTTTGGACTGCTGCTGGTTTGGTTGTGGTTGCAGTCTGCTTGCTTGTCCGCCCGATGCAAAGAGAGCGGGAAGAGGGGGCTTCCGAGGGGGCGTCTCTTCCCCCTTCCATCTGAGGCAGGGTCAACTTTTCACATGTTGTCCCATTTCGCCCCTCATCCGCCAGGGCTGGGAGGCGAAGCAAAAAGAACACCATCTGCGGCCCTGGGCGCTGGCGTGGTGGTCCAGGGAGTTCCCCAGGACGCTGTAGGCCTGGAGCTGAATGTTGTGGGCCTTGTGGTAGGACACAAAGCTGTTGGGGTCTGTGCCCATGCCCAAGTGGAACTGCACCTTCCGGAGTGGAAAGTCGTGACGGATGCTTCCTCTTTTCTACTAGGACTTTTGGCTGGCCACGCATTGAGGCAATGCATACGAATGAACCTGCACCCATATTCCCATCAAAGGGATGCTGCAGAATGCCTTCGCGGCACGCCCTTCAAGCCGCCAGCTTCCCTTGAGAAACCTTACATGCGAAAACAGCTGAAGCTTGCCTGGTTCACCATCGGCTGAATGGTGGCAGACTTCAGACAGTCAAAGCAGCTGGGGCAGTAGTTGGAGACCCCAATGGCGCGGGCCTTGCCTTCCTTGTAGAACTCCTCCATGGCCTTCCACTGGGCCCGCACCATCTGGCATCCTCCTGACCAGCTGTTGCAGCTGCGGGTGATCATGGAGGCGATGGGCGGGAAGTGCACAATGACGAGGTCCACGTAGGAAAGATTCAGGAGCTGAAGGTCTTTCTCCAGATTCTTCTTGGTGCCCTCCTGGCACTTGAAAAGGTTCAGCATGCTCGGGTCCATCCCACATCCCGGCACTTTGGTTTCCACGAAGATCTTCTCCCGCGGAACCTGCGATTCCGCGATGGCCCTGCCAACGCCGTCCTGATTGTTGTAGTCCAGGGCGGTGTCGATCATGGTAAAGCCAGCCTTCAAGGCAGCAGTGACGGAATCGTATGCAGCTGAGCTGTTGTACCTCAGGCGAAAGCACCCCAGATGGGATTCAGCACATCGCTTCCCACCGCATGTCTCAGCCTTGCCAACCGCACCGAAAACAAGCGAAGCGTCGAAGCGACCGATTTCCCCGATGGCTGAGGCGCTGCCAGGAGCCCGCAGCCACCATGGGCATCTGGACGCCATTCCGCAGAGTCACCGTAGGCGCCGCGTGCGCGCCGAGGACGAAGAGCGCCAGTTGCAACATGGCGAGCGACGGGTCGGAGAATTCGGACAGGTGCTTAGGTGCTGGGCTGCGCAGACCGAGCACAAGAAAGACATGCCACGCCCTCCAAACGGACAATCCCTGATGAGTGTTGCTGATCAGGGGTTCACATTAGCCACTGTGCGCCTCTTGCAATGATTGCCCCTGACACCCATCAAGGCATCCTCCACGTCTGAAGGGCCACGGCCGAAAGATCCTTGCCTACCTGACAGCCTAAGGCATGCATGACTGGCCCCGGGCGCAACTGCTGCCATCTGCAGAATTCCATCAGTTCCCAACGGCGACGTCACTATCCGTCCTTTACGAAAATGAGAACAGGCCCTCGGAAAGCCATCGCACTGGCACAGGAAGCAGCAGCATGCGGACTTCCCCGACTTCCACTGCTCTGAGGCCAAGGGCGTTTCGGCACAAACATCTGGTCCAGCTGACGGCCATGGCAAGACAACCAGTCTTACTTTGACACTGTGACACCTTGGGCCAGCGCAACAAACCAAGGCGGTCTCGAGTGTTGGTGGAGAGAATATCCGAGTCTGCAACTGCACCACATGAACATGATAAGTGCTTCGAGCACAGTTGCTACCCCCAAAAGTATGCACACACCTGACAGCCAGCCACACCCAACATTACTTCAGAGGCTTTGCAAGCCCTCGACAAGGTGTCTGCAGGAGTTGTGGAACTAGCTCCCTGGCCCTACGAGCCACCTTTTGCTGCTTTGACCTGCTTGGACCCGCTGTGACCTGCTTCTTGGCGCTTGCTATGTACAGAAGTAGGCCTTCCCTTGGAGGGGGTCCAGTCCAGACCCACCCCAATCGCTCAAATGCACAGCCCGAAGGTGAAACGGCCCTGAGCAAGCTTCACAGGGGCGTAGTGCCTGCCCTGCGCGGCACTAGGCCTGAGGCAAAGAGCGATGACCTCTTTTAATTTTGGACAACAACTTTCTGACTTTCTGGCTATACGGTGTGTTTTGGGGTTGGTGGCTTGGAGCCATGGGAAACTCCCTCGATGACTCAAGGGCACATGACAATCTGTGACACGGTTGTGGACCAAGTGGGCGGCGCCGTGGTGGGGCCATAAGCGACGGGTTCGTGGCAGGGATGAAGGCTGAGTAGAGCCTCGGTGATCAACTTTGGCACTGAGGGCCCCAGGGTCTCCCATAGCGGAAGCATGCAGCTAGCCTGCGCAAAAGTGTTTGCCTCCTGTTGGTTCGCCCTAACTCACATCCAAAGACGGTAGGCCGCCCGACTGCTGTTGAGCATTGATGGAGCCCAAACCTCCAGCTGTCAGCAATGGTGGAGGAGATGGCAGCATTTGGTGACCTGGGTGGTTCCACTTCTCCAACTCACTTGCAAGCAGCCAAAACGGCTCATGATGCTTAAGCCGGTCAACACCAAATTGTGGAATAGAAAAGCATCGCGCACCAGCATCATTGTACTTAGCAGCTGCGACTCACTCACATGGCAGCTTCAAACCCGAGCGCCACACCCTGGTAGCGGCCCAGCTGCACCCAAGCAGTGCGCCTCAGCCATCTCAGCATGTGGCATGAGCTTTGCTCTCCATCGGACGCGCAAGGCCCGAGCAAAGTCTTCCTCTGGAGCTTTGCCAGACCTCAAAGCGGCCACCCATCTTCAAATGGAACTGCGAGATTGGGAGGCTCCAAATGTGACTTACTAACCGAGATCAGTGCCCGGGATCAGGGCCCGAGATCAGTGTTTAGGCGCCGGGCAAAAGGCCAGGCCGCCGGCACGGTGCGAGAGCCGCACTCGGGTCTCCAGCATCACCTCCGGGCGTTCTGACTGCGGCCGACACGCCCGAAATTGGATGCGGTGGCATTTCGCCTGTAACCTGCCGGTGCTGGAAGCTGCGCTCTCGCACAAGCACGACTAGGCCCGGCACTGCAGTTTGGCACTGAGATTTCAGCAACTCTTTCAGGATGCTGGACCTCAGAAAAGACAGTCTCAAAGCACATGCAAGCAAACAGAAAAAATCAAAGCAGCATGCACAATTGGGAGCTCATGGATCCGGCTTCACAAATTTGCACCTTTTGAGACTTGCTCATAAGCACGTCGCGTATTGGCTGCCTGTTTGACAGGCGGTGCTGCAGGCCCTTCTACGAGGGGCACAGCACCAAAAAGCGCCAAAAAACGAAGAGCTTCATTGTGCAAAACACGCCATGGGTACGCAAGGAGGTCTAACAAATCATCCTTAGAGCAAATCACGGCCTTCCAGCCCAGGCTGAGCTAATGCACCCTTGTTCATGTGAAAGTCAAGGACCTTGAGCCCTCAGCTGTCACGCGGGCTGCGGGAACGACATCCTCTTCAGGAGCGCACCACCGCAGAAAAGGACCCGGTGGCCACATTGCTTGCAACGCTGCCGTAGGTCCTGCCCATGAGCACCTAAGCTGTCCATTGCTCAAGTCGCAGCTGTCTCGCTAACAGACTGAAAGCACCTTTGTTGGCAACAGCGCCCTGGAAGTGCGCCAAGGCTCAAAAAAGTGCAAAGATTTTGGGAAGCATCAGCAGATCAGAAGGCATTGGGATGCATCAGAAACCCGGGGGCCACGGGGTTGTAGACTGCAGTGGCATCTGCAGTATGAACTACAAATTCGGAAAAGTACTGACTACAAATGAACATGTTGCAGCTACTGACTTACTCGTTATGTGCATGACTACTGATGTTCAACTAGCGTGATCGGTGAAGCAATGCCATTTCTCCGTGCAATGTGTACCATACTTGAGAGGATGTTGCATCTTATTGGCCAGGCATAAGTGAACAGGCTGAACTAGTCAACTTTGGTGTGCTTGAACACTCAGACCTGAAAGCAGCAACAGCAGCACGCAGTGCAGCACACAGTGCAATACAGAGTGCATCGATTGAACATGCGTGCTTGTTAACTACACCTCAAAGCGTTGACGGTTGCCCCTTTCTCAAACCGACACAAGCAGTAGCCCTTGGTTGATCATACCTGCTTAGCTTGTTGCCAATTGAAACAACATGTCCGCAATTTAGGACAATATGGAGCTCAAAATCTGCCAAAGCTGCACATTTGGTTGCCATCATTGGCAATGGCTGAAGCATAATTAATATAAGCAAGAAGTGTCTAACTGCCAGTGGCAGTACCACAAAACATCCCCCCCCACCCAACTAACAAGGCCTACGCAAATATGAAAGTACCCAAACATACAGCCAAACATTCTTATTTGTCCTCTTAGGCTTTAGCCTTGCGCAAAATCTGTTTGGACATGTGCAGAAATTTTGTCACCAATACTCCTCAAATCCAGCCTAGGTCTCCACCAAGTCTTGTGAGTCTCGGGCCCTTCCCGCTTCGCGCTGTCGGACCCTTCAGCCGCTACGGCCCACGGCACGAAGGGATCCTCCTCGAGGTTTTCCAGCGCCAGGGCCAAAGAGGCGGTGTGGAGCCTCGGCGCCATGACCTCCTCCTGCAGCTCCTCCACCGTCATCCACCTCCGTGACTTTCGGCTTGGCACGGCTAAGGTTTTCTTATAGGTCACATATGCATCCCTGGCTTTGACGCATACCCGAAGCGCCGAAGGGGCATTAATATGATCGGTGTGGTAGACTTGGTTTCCTAGGCCTTTTTGATGAGCAATATTGGGTGCAAAGCAAGCTTTAGGCGGGTACCTCAAGATGACTGCACAACAGCAGGCCGGCACCCCCAGCAACAGGTCGCAAGACAGCCCGAAACCTGCTTTTGGCAACCCCGCAAATCCTATAAAAGTGCACACGTCCCAGTCTCATGCCGCACGTGTTGACCAAAATTGCGCCCACACAACAGGAGTAAATCAATATCGCATGTTCAAAGCAGAAGAACCTGAAGAGCCAATACTCTTGTATCATGCGGCAATTTTCTTGGAATGTCAATGCTTAGAGTGCGTCGGCGAACTAGCTGATTGAGCAGGTCGCTTTGATGGCAGCTTGACCCAAACCTCGGGCATGTGTTGCACACCATTAGTCAACTCACATGCCCATGTATGGCGCGTCGGATTTCCCAGGGGCTTTTGCTTTGGCCCAAAACGACTGAATACAGTACACAATGTGGTGACTTGCTACCTCACTGCTGCAAACGCGCCTGAAAACCCGCTTGCGGTTGTCAACAATCTTGGACACCTCGTTCAAAACCTCCTGCAAAGCATCAAAATGCTTACGCACTTACAGTCACCGTTTTTGCGTCCTCCGGAATGTAGGGCACACACAGCATGTACAGGAAGTATTCGTGAATGTCGTTGAAGAAAATGCGAGGCCCATCGTCCAAGAGCTGCAAATGCGCCCACTCCTCACAAGCGAGCGGAAAAACACGAGCGCTGCAGTGTAAAACGCTTCTGGTGTCTTGCGGCTTGCGTGTGCACATTGGCGATCCGCAGGTCCTCACTGGCTTTCAACATGAGCGGGAGGTTGGCAAGGCCCTGGCAAGGGTGAGCTTGCTCTAAATGCAGCTCTTCTGGGTCGCAATTTTTTGGGGGGACGGTTTGGGCATGCCAAAACTTGGCCGGGCAAAACAGATTCTGCTTCAGAAGGACAAAGAACATGCTCCCGTGATTGGTACGTGTGTGTGTGTGTGTGTGTGTGTCTGTGTGTCGGTGTTTAAGTGGGTGTGGGTGCGTGTCCGTGTGTTTGTGCATCTGCACGCAGGTCTCTCTTTGTCTGTGTCTGTGTTGCTGTGCTGCGTTGTGTTGTGGGGTGCTGCGTTGTGTTGTCTGGTGCTGTCTTGTGGTGTGGTGTGGCTTTGTGTTTGCGCAAAGGGCGCGGGGCAGTGCAGCAACTGCTGCAAACTAAAAGGAGTTTCGGCGTCAGTCATGCCTGAACATTGTTCGCCAAGATTGGCCCTCCTCTTCAGGGACGCCAACGGCCAATCTGGCTACTGCACGTTAACGTCAGGACATGAATGAAGGTGGCGTCCGACTCCAAAGGATGACAAAAGAAGGAAGGAAGAGAAAAGCGACGGACCTGCTAGGAACCGGGGGCAAAAACACACACACCGAAGGGGGAACACACAGGGCAACCGAAAACAGAAGGGAAAAGGCAGAAAAGAAGGAAAGGAAAAGACAAATAGAAAGAGAAAGAGAAAGAAGAAGAAGAAAAAAGGAAAAGCAAAAGAAAAAGAAAGGAAAAAGAAAAAGAAAAAGAAGAAAAAGACAAGGACAAGAGCCAGAAGGAGCGCCTCCATCATTCCGGGTGATGATTTTTGCCGTTTCCTCTCAGTGCCTAAGGCTTCATGCTGCTCAGTCGGACTCGAGGACGGTCCGTAAGGCCGATAGCGTTGGAAACCTTCTGGCGTAGCGGTCGCTTGGGTCTCCATGGGCCGGGCAGAGGTGAGACATGATCCGCATCATTCGTGGGCGAGGGCGTCGGGCGGATGGAGATGGTGGAAGTGGTGTGGAATTGGTGAAGGCTTGGAGATGCCTGGTCGCGTGGGGGCCTGGCCCGTGGTGGCAGAAGTGGCCAGTGTCGCAGGCCGTAGAGCGTGGCTGCAGGAGGTGTGGCGCGGCTTGGTGGTGCCAAGTAAATGTCCTTTGCGAGCTCATCCGAATCCATGACTGCCATGGGGGGGGATCGCATGTCTGCGTGCGTTGCAGCGGAGCCTGCGAGTCCATGTCGAACTCGCCCCGCCCTCTTTGTAGATCCACCACGCTAAGGTTGAGAAGCCCGCAGATCGGTCTGCCGGGTCCGCCAGGATCCAGCGTTTGCCCGTTCCCCGTGGCGAAGTCGACCCTATACTCCACGCAAGGCTCTGAGTTGAAGAGGAAGCCGCCCAGCATGTCGGTAGCGGAGCAAAGCACATGCTGAATATTGATAGCAATAAGGCTGAGCGGGTGAGTAGCGGCATCCCCCATAACAAAGTCACACTTGTTTTTCCGGGTTTCCCAGCGAAGCGAAAAGGCACAGAAACCAGAAACAGAAAGGACACCGAAAAACAAGTAGCTCGGCAAGGGGCGACAAATACTTTTTTGTCACCAGGTCGGGTCAGAGTCTATTTCGAGTTTTTCCTGATGCGTCCGACGCGGACCTGTTGAGCTTCTTGGCCAAGGCCTGGTAGGAGTACTTTGACTTGATGTTGCCTTTGTCATCCTCCTCAGTCCAAATGTGAAGGAGTGCCAGGTCCGAAGGCTCATGCTCCGGGTTGACCGACTCCGCGATATCTGACCGCTCTAGAATGTTGCCCGGATCGTCAGGCTCGCATGCGAGTAGGCCCAGGCGTCTTGGACACGTTCTCCTCAGGATGGTGTCTGGCAGGGCTGCTACGTTCAACAGATGCAGGAACCATGGTTTGTAGGAGACGGACTTCGGGTTGACTGGGGCCGGGGCTGAGGCTTGACGTCATTGATGGGCTTCATCAGCTTAGTTCAAGGAGTCATGGATGAGGGCCATCAGTTCCGTAGAGCTCTGTGTCATCTGACGGCGGCGAAGGGCGACTTGGTGGTATGCGACGGCGAAGCCGTAGAAAGAGTCTTCTGCCGTAGCGAGACCAAGGTTGATCTGACATGACAGGAACCTGGTAGCTGCGTACCCCGTCGAAACTCGTTTGTACTTGCGGTGGATGTAAGGCCAGTTGAGCGACGGCTGATGCATGCTGATGAGGGTGTGCTCCTGGACCCAAGTGGTCAAGTGGTCAGGTGATGTGAAGTCGTGAACTCGTCATAGTTTTTGAAATGATGCCACCAGCGGAGTGCGGGCTCTGTGCTGGAGCTGGCCTTGTTGTATGCAGCGCCCGTCGATTGTGTGCTCCTGGCTGGCGTAAGTGACGCCTGTGCTGCCAATGCAAACGTCTGGCAAGGGGTTGACTGACCAAGGTTGGGTAGCTCGAAGGGCGAGGGAACTTATCGAAGGTGTAGGCGCCGGGGGTGACGCGAAAGCGGCGGAGGTGGCGCTTCAGGTCCGCGAGAGAGCGGGTGGAATTGCCATGGTGGTTGACAATCAGCAGT